ATAGAGATGTCCATCTTTATGCAGACAGGGAAATAAAGTCAACTGGTTCCAAAGATAGACTGCCCTGGACCGATTTAGACTCAACCATACAAACACAAAATACTGGCCGTGCAGATTGCGCAATGGTTGATTCAATTATTGTTATGAATGGTAGTACTGGTGAGTAGCACCACTAGCTTTCTCTATGAAGATATATGAAAACCATTGCTCCCTATATAACCGCTTCATAGACCGTAATGGGAATGGTGGTTGACATATACAAGATAATGAAAGTGCTTCTTGGGCAAATAGAGGAATGTTCAGATATTTTTTATTACAGATATTTATATAGCGCTGACAATTTACACAGCGCTTTACATGCACAATAACATCAGTCCCTGTCCTCAGGGACCTTAGATTGTAAGCTCCATGTTAAAGTTCTTGGGGGAAGGGGACTTAGAAGGGAATACTTGTAAAGAGCTGTAATCTGGTATAGCATGAAAGTACATGTGTGGGTTAGGAAGGTGAATAATGAAGCAGGGATGAAAAAAAGTAGAACATTCGCTATTAAAACGCATATCTCCATCCATCTCATATGACCTTCAGTTGTCTCCTAAGCATCTGCAGAAATAGCACAATCTGTAAGCCTGTTACTGCCTAGATATATTTGTGTTCAAAACACCAAGGAAAGCGTGTTGCCCACAGCAACCAACCAGAATCCAGCTGTCATTTTCCAACTTTTTTTATATAAAATTGTTTAACAATGTTATTTTCCTTAGCAAAAGCATAAGCGTGCCTTGTTGTTATCACTGATATATGGAAATAGGGACCGAAATATTATCAAAGCATTATTTTTCCTCAATTTTCCAAGTATTTTATGACAATGTCTGACTAATTTCACCATCGTTTCTTTCTTTCTTTCCAATTGCAAGCAACAAATACATTTAGGATTGTCTAAAATGCAGGTATACACATGACATGATCTCCTAATACTATAATAGGAGGATTACAGTCATATGTCAGAGGGCACAATATAGTTCAGCTCGCTAAAAAAAAAAAAAAAACCAGAAACAAAAGAAAACAAACCTGCTAGTGTTTTTTGATGAAACGTATACCCAACCAAATCAGGTAGAATAAACTGACATGTAAAATGAAACAAACTAATTGCATTAAACAAGTCACGGATTGTCTCATCTGAACTAGATTTAAAATAGTTAACACATTTATTACTTCAGCAGAATTTTATAATAGTATTTGAAATGGAAACAGGGTGGAACTACAGATCATGGGGCCCCACAGTAAATATTAGACATGTGCACTGCCAAAAAATTCGTTTCGTTTTAAATTCGGATTTGTGTTATTTCGTTTTTCAGGATTCGTGTGTGAAAGTCAATTCGGATTCGGAATTCGGATGAAATTCGGTAGCGTTAGTACGAACGTTCGTTTCGTTTTCTGTTCTTATTCGTTTCTTATTCGTTTCGTTCGTTCGCAGCAAAAGTGACATTTGAGGGGGAAAAAATATTTTTCTCCTTCTCTAATGTCACTTTGCTCCAACGAACGAAACGAATAAGAAACGAATAAGAACAGAAAACGAAACGAACGTTCGTGCGAACGCTACCGAATTTCGGAAATGGAAATTCGGATTCGTTTGCATTCGTTATGTCTGTAATTCGGAATTCGGATACATCCGAATGTCCGAATTTACGAAAATTCGTCCGAATTTCGATTTGGAACGAAACGAATCGCACATGTCTAGTAAATATTTTGATCTGAACAAAGTATGTTGAAGAGGACGTTCACACCATAAAATGCAGGTGCATTGACATGCATCAATATGCATTAACATGTACTTTTATGCACGTTTCAGTGCATTAATATGCTTTTTCCTCATGCGTTTTGCCCTATTTTCAGGGTCATCAATTCTCCCTTTCTCTTTTGTGAGTTTGACTTTGCTTTCACTTGCTTTTTAACGCAGACTTCTCCGCTAAGTTGTGGTGCGAACAGGGCACATAGAAAACAACCTGCGTTAATCGTGTTCAGAAAAAATGCAGGCCTTTGCACATGATGTGTACAAGCCTGAAATCAAGGACAGGTACCAGGAGAACTGTCAGCATAGTGAGTACATTATAGGGATCAGTGCTGTGGATGGACTTTGTCAGGGAGTGCATCAGTGAAGATAATTAACCTTTAAATTAATTTTTTTGGCTAACTACTCTATCCTCAGGAGCTCCCCAGATCTCTAGGCCTCCATGTAAATTCAAAGTCCTCTCAACCCTTTCACCGCCACAGCAAGCAAGTACTGAAGGCGGTGGTGTAGAATCAGTAAAAAATGTTTTTAAAAAAAATCAACAATATTGACCATCACAATATTTTTTATTATGACTTATTTAATTACTCCTCCACACAATTACTCTATATAACTATTTTGAAAAGCGCTGAGCAAATTGTTGGCACTATATAAATCCTGTATAATAATAATAATAACTCTAATGCAAACTTCTTTAAACAGTGTATTCTTTTGTGGAGAAATACAGACAGCTGTCAGTTTTCAGCCGAGGAGACACTCTGGGAGATTTGCAGTCTCGGGAAGACTGCATGAGGTATACAAGGTTAATTTCAGTGCTGGCCAGGATGACCAGAAGCTCTAAGGTCAGTAAATCTACACTATTAATACAGATAAACGAATTCTCCTTACTGCATAGCCTGCAAAGGGGGATCTGAGACTAGCGACAATGATTCTGAAGTTTCCTACCGTAAGGTCCGGTTCACACCTGTGCGTTTTGTAGCGCGTTCCTACGCTCTGCAAAAAACGCTCAAACACCGAAATCCCATTATTTCCTATGGGTATGGTTCACACTTGGGCGTATTACAGGCCGTATAAACGCGCTACAAAACGCCCTACGCCCAAAGAAGTACAGGAGCTTCTTTGGGGCGTATTTGCCGCGCGTATCCATAGGGATACAGCCAGGTAGCCCTCGGAAACGCGCGTTTTTTTACCGCGAATAACGGTAAAAACAAACACTCGAAATGCGCGACAAACACGCATATTCGATACCCCTAGGTGTGAACCCAGCCTAAGTCCGATGACTGCTCTTAATTGGAAATGTCTCGGGGGGTTCAGGGTCAGTGTCAACAGCAAACAATACAGTGATGGAGATGTGTTATATTCCTATGCATTTAGACTGTCTAGGTTTAAATTGCCTCAACAGCCCCCTAATGGGACTCCCTTCCACCCCCAGTTACCATAGCAGTTGCGTGGGCTATGGCTATTGTTGCACCCATACAGTAATGAGGTAAGCATTCTTTCAGAAGTAAGATGTCATTATTACAAATGACAGCATTATAGGAGGACTATAAATACTTCAATCAGTCGTCTAAATAAAAAATAATTACCCTGTGTCTACTAACAAAGCATACAGAGCACTATTACCATTTTATGCCAAATTTAAATCAGTGCTCCTCAACCCTTGAAAAGTATTCAAAATCTCAAGGCACCCCAGTCTAAAATGTCATTTTAGACTGGGGTGCCTCGAGATTTTAAGAGGGGCCCCATACAAAAAAAAAAAATGGGTTTACCCCTTCACATCAGTAGCCCCTCTTTCACATCTGAAGCTCCCACCTTCCTTTCACATCAGAGTTCCCCCTTTACCTCAGTCTTCATTCCTCCCCTTTACATCACAGTCCCACAAGATTTTGAGGCACCCAAAGAAGCCAGGAGGCACACCATGGTACCACAGCACCCTGGTTGAGAAGGCTGACTTAAAATGACAGGACACAGCTATATAGTGTGAACCACATGTCCCAACAAGCCCTGGCAGCTTTGGCATCCAGGGAACTGTAGTTCTATATCAGTAGGAGCCCCAGATGGTATAAATTGTCAGAGACACTTTTTAGGTATCATTACAAAACAAAAGCACATAAAGCATTATTGCTAAAAATATGACTGTGCTAATTGTGATTTGTCAGAAAGCACTCTACCAGAGCAGGACAGAGGGATGTTATGAAACCATTGGGAATATGGCAGTGGAGTTTAGCAGACAGGCAGAGAACAGCGAGTTAAACATTCCAGTAGTATGCTGCTGCTAATGACTGTTCTGGTATCACTGCATCCGTATTCCTGCTTCTTCAGATAATGCCATATCCATCATTCCATCATTCCGTTTCTAAACATTTCCCGTTACACATCTATTTCCAGAAAGCAGATCAGACGCACCTGAATCCCAGCTTGCCTAATAATTATATTTGCTCACTGTTAAGATACATGCCAAAATCTGCTCAGATCACAATCTTTACCAGCACTTCCACTTACTCGTGTGTCAGTGTAAGCCAACTTTTCTTTCCAGAATGAATAGTCTAGACCAGGCTAAAAACCTAGCTGCTGTGGAATGCCAAAATTCCAGCATGCTGTTAGCTTTCTGAGACTTGTAGTTCCCCACCAGCTGCAGAGCCACAGACTACCTACCCCTGATCTTAACTGATATCCATTTATCGTTTTATTTCAGACAACTCAACCCGAGTTCTTGAAAGCCATGAATCTCCGCACACACAGGAGCCATCACTCAGCATCAGTACAGCACATTGTTTTTAAATACCTTCTCAAGAAGAATGAGCCTCCAGCACCTGTCCTGTTAGTAATGGCCTTTCCCCTTTCCATCCAGACAGATAACAGCAGTAGTCAGGTTCATGCTTTCCCTTCTACCCTCTTCTGAGATTGCCTCCAGGTTGCCTCTAGACTGAACATTCAAAGCTCAGAGTCCCACCCCAAACCTTATCCCTCCTTCTCCCTGACAAACCTTTCCTTCTCTTATTTCTCTGGGTATCTCCTCTCGTATCCTTTTTTAAGCAGATCTCTTAATATTGCTTGTATGTCTCACCTCAATACTTGTGTATCCCTGTCAGTCCTTTGTCCTCTCCACTTGCTATGTCAGCCCCCCCACCTCCTTGCACAGCTAATTAGTTGTCATTAGCAGAGTTTATTAGTATTTTCCATCTTTGTTCTTGTTGTCTGATGTCTGACCCACCCTGCGGTTTCCTGTGTATCCCTTAACTCTTCCTGCTCCGCTTTAGCTTGTCGGTTCCAAAAGACAAACTCCATTCCAGGAGGAATTCCAGGAGGGTTCTAACCTAGAGCAATCAAAGCCCAGCGAAAGAACCTCCATCGTGTATCGAAGTCCAATCTATTTCTGTACTGAAAGACGCCTTCTTCCTGTCTCACATCACAATCTATTCCAGCGCTGAATGATACCTCCATCCTGCTAAGCACTTTCCTCTGCTAGTCCACTTTTGCATGCTTTAGAAAAGAAAAAAAAAGATCCCTACTGTGTCCTAATTGTATTTTCATTCTACAGTTATTTCCTGCTCTTGCTATAATGTTATCAGCTTTTCATCACAAATTCCCATAACGACTTCTATTTGTTCCTAATTCACTAACCTCATTGCAAGAACAAAGCCAGTACAGCACTGATGCCAGCTTCTCCGGTACTGGTTCCAGTTATGTCTGCTGGTGGGAACTGGCACAGTAAGAGACAAATAATAATTATATTGTGTTGTGTCCACACAGTATCGTGTCAGCTGATGAGCCGTTGGGACAGGCACCAGGACATTGTATAAAAGTACCCAACAACGTTTGTCATCAAATGCTATTAGCAACTCATGGATGTGTTCCATGCCAGCTAAGCCTGCACAGTTGTTTCTGTAGCTTTACTGGCAGGAAGCGGTTAAAAAAGACACTTGTGGGATGCAATGCAGTTAAGCCTGGTAGGTCATGTGCTTGCAAGTAATTAAGGTGTGATATTGTGCAGATTCCTCAAAAGGAATCCATAATTATCTCCATATCTGGGGCATTTGATTTCATTTTAATTAGATGACATGAAGAAAAAAAAAACCCACAGGAGACAGAGGCAGGAGAAGAACCGCAGAGGTTTAGAGGGAAGGCGGATAGACTCAGACAGGTAAGTGGTGGGGAGATAATGGAAGAACATAGCAGCAGACCCAGTTCCTGGTCTGACTTCCATATAGCAGGTGAGAAATTGGAAGTGACAGGTAGGGAGGGGGCTTGACAGACAGGACAGGGACATGTATGAGCATGAGATGGACATGGAACACGCAAACAGAGGTGTGAGAGAAGATGATTAGAGACATGTGGCGAAGAGACGGTTGTGGCAGCACGCCACTGGATGCAGCCAATTTATTCGTGCTGATTTTTAATTACCAGATTCATTTGGAAGCAAGCCCAAAGGAAGATGACAAAACAGCGCCCTGTCTATCTTTCCTCTGCCGTGCGTCTTGCGTCTGTCTTATCTCCGCTTGTCTATCCAGTTTTCAGCAAACCTGTCTATTCTCCATAGACCTGGTTCCATCCATGTGTGTCTGTCTGCTATTGTCCCCCCTGCCTAACTTATTCCCCCATGTGGCCCTAATTGATACCAACCCCCCTCCCCAACTTATTCCCCCATGTGTGTATCTGCTACTGTCCCCCCTCCCTAATTTATTTTCCCATGTTTATCTTTCTGCTACTGTCCCCGTCCCTAACGTATTCCCCCATGTGTGTCTATCTGCTGCCATCCCCCTTACCTACCGTATTACCCCATGTGTGTATCTGCTATCGCCTTCCCCTCCCTAACTTATTCCCCAATGTGTGTCTGTCTGCTACCGTCCCCCCTCCCTAACGTATTCCCCCATGTGTGTGTGTCTGCTACTGCCTCCCTCCCTAACTCATTCCCCTATGTGTGTCTGTCTGCTACTGTCTCCCCCAACTTATTCCCCCCAACTTATTCCATTGTCCATCTGTCTGAAGCCTCTAGTTCAAGTTCGGTCCTATATTGTTTTTATTTCCCTTTCACTTCCTCCTGTGTTCATTTCATGTCATGCATTATGATTTTTATTACCTGCCATTGAGTTCTGTGGTTCACCGGTCAGCACCTCTCACTTCAGGTAGCCGGACGACGAATAAAAAGGCAAGCTCTTACCTGCGTTCGCATGAAAGGGGCCACAGAGAAGGGGGGGAAGAGGCAGCCTGCGAGCGAGAACTTTACGTGAGGGTGTCGGAAACATCATCTGCCCCACACCTGACAGGCACAGGCCTTTGGAATGAGGTAAAACCAGTCGCTGCTTTAAAGAAGACAGAATCTAGCAGCCTGGCTGGTATCTATTTTTAACCCTTTGTAAGACGGAAGGAATTCTCCAAAAGGTCAGCCGTGGTAGTGAGGCAATAAGGAACTGTAGGTGTTGGGTTACCACAGGATAAAGCCACTTCATTGAAGAGATGGCTGAGATCATTTAAAGCCTCTATGAGTGCACTTAACTCTTTGGTATCCTCACAACAAAACATAATACAAGGTTGTATTGTCTCGGGGGTGACATGTTTTATCCATTTTATTACCTCCAGGCAACGAGCACTTGGCACAAGCATGGTACTAGTGAGGTAAAGGCAACTGTCTAGAGTTATTGAAGCAGTCTAATTTAATTATGGTTGGAGGGTACTTGTCACCAGTTTGCATACTAGTTCTGGGCCAGCGACATCGCTTACAGAGAAGCTGAATAGGTTAGACTTTCCTGCCTCGGAGCTAGTATGGCAGCTCTAGTCTGAGGCTTCTCACACAGGTCTTTTTTTCCTGCATGACAGGTTCCTGGAAATAACTCAACCATGATAGAACCAGCCACCTTTTGCTTCTGGCGTTGGCACTAAGTCACAAAGCATTCAGTAACATTTGCAGACACGGCACCCGGGATGTAAAAATAAACCTTTTTCTTTAAGGCCTTGTTCACACCAAATGCAGAGCAGATCCGCTCAGATTTCTGCACACGCAGTGCAGTGGGTTGTGCCGCGTTTTTACCGCGTTATTGCCACGTTTTTGATGCGTTCCGAGCCGTTTTTGTTAAAAAAGTAAAAATTGTTTTGTTTAACATGGGCTTTCAGTGCGTTCCAGGCATTTGCATGCGTTTTGGATGCGTTTGCATGCGTTCCAGAGCAGGTAAAATAGGGCCTACTGCAGTTTTTTTACCTGCTCTGGACCTGCACGCTGCGATGTGAACTGGAGCTAAAAATACTTTTGGAATACATTGGACGCAGTTTTGATCCGGTCTGCAACTGCTCTGCTCTGCACCTGCTCCGCGCTTGGTGTGAACAAGGCCTTAAAGTGAGGTTCCTCTATTTATTTTTATTTTTTTGAGATAACATTCAAAGAGTTGGAATCCATGATTTGTAATATGCAGAACAATAATGTACATTTGTAATTCATAAAATATATATCATATTCCAGAATATTACCCAGCAATTGCGTCTCGCTAAACAGGACTAAAGAACATGATGCTGAGTCATGAAAGGTCCAGAACAACCAGAGTTCTCGTTTCACTTTTCCAGGGCACGGATCAGAATGACAACAAAACCCGAACTGGTTGCTGCGAGTCATGCTTCATTTTGTTTTTTGCCTCATTTTTTATTATATCAGTAAGGTCCTTTATAATCGGTAGGTAACTTTGGCACTCCAGCTGTTGTGGAATTACAAATCCCATGAGGCATTGCAAGACCCTTATAGCCACAAGAATGACTCCTGAAGGCCCTGGCGGAGCTACCAGGGTCGAAGCAGTTGCAATTGCGACCGGGCCCTGGCGTTCCGCCTGTTGGGGCGAGGAAAAAGAGGGCCCCCCCGAGATCGTGCCACTCCTTCCCTGCTGTTCTGCCACCCGCAGCATGTACGGGCGGCTGTGCAGCAGGGATGGAGAGGCTGTCACTTGTCGCGCAGAATGTGCTGCAGGCACCACCAGGCAGCACATTCTGCTGTGTGAGGACCCTTTCCTCTTAGCCCCGTCCCCTGGCCGCCGAGACACGGAAGAGGGTCCTGCAGGAGAGGTAAAGTAAGTCTGGACCGGGAAGGGAAGGCGCCGGAAAGGTGGGCAGGGGGATTTGCTGGTGGTAGTCTGCAGTGCTGTTTTTTATTATAATGTATTGTTGGAACTTGTAGTCCCGCATAGCTGGTACTACTCTGCATTGCTGTATAATCATTATACAGCAATGCAGAATAGCACCAACTATTTAGGACTACAAGTCCCAGCAATGCATTATATTTTTAAGTAGGGATTCACCAGTGAAAATGCCCCGATACCAAGCGCAGATACCGATGTTCTGCCGACGTAGTCGAATTTGCCGACCTCAGCATCTGCGCTCGCGCACAGACCAATATTATCGAGGAACCGGGATTTATTTACAAAGTATTTCGTGTAAATTGGTAATTGTGACCGTTAATAATATTCCATCCATTATTCACTGCCATCCATCATTTACTGCAATGGACGGTATATTATTAACGGTCACAATTAACCATTACAAACGAATACTTGAAAGGTTTACATAATTTTACGAATACTTTAAAGGTTGAACGTAAGCGCAGATACTAGGTCGCCGTTCTCGACAGAACACCGGCACTACATTTTTTAGCTGAAGCGGCTGCCTGAGGTTCCGCGCTTGCTGGGGACCTCAGCAGCCGTCCTGTTAACCACACAGTGTCATATTCTCCCCCAAAAATGTCCGCGCGACACTAGAGTGTTCGGGTTTCGCTTAAAGAAAAAGTCGCAACTCTACTGTGTGTGTGTATATATACAGGATATCTATATATAGATCTATATATATACACATACATACATTAGATATGACTTTTCTAAAAGTTAAGTCATACTGCTGTTGCCTAACTCGTATGTGCAGTTCTGTCACTCCAGCTTAAACTGCACAAAGGCTCTTAGCCACCTCTGTCCTGACTTTTCTGTGTCATTCCCTTCGCAATGGGAGCTTGCTTTTCTATTCTTTCACTGCTGGAATTGTCACTAATTAAAGTTGCTCCACTCCCTGAGACCTGAGAAACCTCCCAGAATGCTTTGCTCTGCTCCGTCTGCTAATGAATATAGGAACAGCGGTAACTGTACGATGACAGACGAGGGCACACAGAGGCCCATAATGTGGTTGTGGGGGTTAACGTGTGTAAAGGGAGGGGATGATAGAAGGCAGGATAACTTTTGTTCCCCGTTTCTAATATTGTGAATATATCTA